CATAAGGATGTCTTTTAAACTTTTCAATATACCAATAACTATTTGACATTAATTATTTAATTCAATTAATATCTAGATTTATTTATACACTTAAAATAATCATATTAATCAACAAAATTAATTACTTAAGCCAGATATTTATCTCCTAACTTGTAGGCTTTTAATTTATCATCATAGATACACCAAAATCAGATTTGGAGGATAAGAATAGCAAGTAATTATCATATAAAAGCAGATTATGCAGATAAGGCAGAAAATTTCAGATCTGACAGCTCAACACGCCGTGTTGGGTCGAATTTCGTAGTCCAACACGTCGTGTAGGAAGAACACCACGACGTGTTTGATTAACAGAATGACGATTCTGTTCTCTCCTCCTTTATCAAGTTTACCATTGTATCGATTCAATAGAAAACTAAACTTATGCTCTGATACCACTGATGGGTTTTGAGCAAAACAAACAATCATATGTGTGCATGCAACCCTAAATAATTTGATCTATGTTTTCGGTAATTGAACATACAACTTGAACAACAAATAGAAAACCCTAACATGCTACTATATATTTCGAAATTCACAATTAGGGTTAGTATAATCATACCTTGATCACTATATAGTAATAGAAATCCAAATTCCTTGTGTTGTTGGAGCCTCGAGAGCAAGCGTCACAAATGGCACGCCTCTAATGTTTCACACCCAACACTAGCAATGGAAGATGATTGAGAAGTAGATGAGGAGCTCAAAATTTTGGTTGGAGTTCTCCAAGAATAAGTGGCCGAAATCCATAGGGTTTAACCCCTTTATATAGTGCAGTCAAGAAACCCTAGATAAGTCTTAATCCAAGATTATCTTAAATCGGGCAGTTATCCACTTTCCTGTTTATCCACCACGGATTATTCTAGAAACCCTTAGGCTCCAAGAAGTCGTCCCCACCTTATGGATGGTTCTAGGTTGCCTCTTGCTTAACTGTTGAGCAATTACAATTCAGTCCCTACACTTTTAATTAATTCTTTTAATCACAAAATTAATTCCAATTAATTTCTGATTAAATATTAATTAAATATTACTATTTATAATTAATATATTATTTTCATAATATATTAATAAATCATTTATTTCAATTTATTAATCGAATAATAAATTCAAACTCTTTCTCAAAAATCATCTGTCCAGTTGCTAGTTTTGAGGGCAACCCAAAAGGACTGTGCTACTATCAATTCAAGTATATATCATTTATAGTTATGGGCTTAGACTCCTAATCCAACATTTTCTTCATTTTTCCCCAAATTGAGATCTAGACATGCATTGGACATGCATGTCTATAAGCATCGATTTTTAGGTTCATTTTAGGGTTTTAAGACCCTCTAGAAAGTTGGAATGCATGGTTTCAAGGATTAGCACTGAATGGGTGGCCATTTGCGTGAGTCACGACGTGATGAAGAGACTTTCCCCAACTGTTTTGGACTGTCTTGGTCACGACGTGAAGGTATGGCCATCACGATGTGACAGTGGCCTAGATCGGATATGAGTGGGGCTGAGATTGAGTTGAATCGTGACTAGATTGGGACCGGGTGGAATCTTTTTTCCACGATGTAACCATGGGCTGGTCACAACGTGAGGGTCAGCTGATGGAAATGCTAAACATTGACTTTGATCGTGATCGTTGACTTCTTGACCTAGTTTTATTACGATCAAAATGGCTAGCTTTGAAATTTTGACTAAGTTGGGACCTTGTTTGATTCGATAGGTGTGTTGTAGTGTCGTTCGTATGACAGTAAGTTGTGTTCTAGTTGATTCCATGAGAGAGGTGAGTCTTCTCACTATGCTATGTAGGATGCTAAATATCTTTGTGACTCTTGCATTTGTATGTTGTTCTAAGCCCATTTATGTGTATGTTGGTTCTGGGCTTATTTATTTGTATGTTGGGTTTTGCTCATTTATTTGTATGTTAGGTTGGGCCCATTTCTTTGCATGATTGGGCTGGGCCCATTTGCATGATTGGGTTGGGCCCAATTGTATGTACGTTGGGTTAGGCCCATTTACATGTTAGACTGGGCCCATTTGTATGGTATGTGGTATTTTGGGGAACTCACTAAGTTTTGTGATTATGGTTTGTGGTTTAAACATTTTTAGGTACTTCCAATTCCAAAGGGAAGGGAGCGACTTGATTGCGCATCATCCCCTTATAATTTCCACATTTATGATTATTTTAATTTGATGATTTTGATACATTTGTATTATGATTGGTTTTAAGACACATGATGTATAGATTTGATAATTTTAAAAAAGACAATTTTTATCAGTATTTCGGGACGTTAGTGAAGCATATTTATATTCATATTTGTGTTGGTTTGAATGGATAGATCCAATAAAGTTGGCAACTTCATTGATCCTTGAGGTCCCAATGAGATCATATAATTTAGACATGAATTTCTATGAAGTTATGGTATCATGCATGGGGTTTTGACCCCATTCGTCTCATTTTGACCTAACTTGAGTGCAAGAAATGCATTGGACATGGATGTCCATAAAGAAAGGATTTTTATGATTCTTATGAGGGTAAGGAAGCTTTCTGGAACATATGAGTATGGGGCTGAATGGATTAATGGCTTAATCCATTAAGTTCGGTGCAGATCCAATGGCGTGGTGGCATGCTCGCCACGATGTGGTGGCAGGACTCATCGCGATTTTTTTGTCGTAGAACAGCCACGACGTGGCTAGTAGTTGGCCATACTGTGGTGACCGTTGACCATTGACTTTGACCGTTGACTATTGACCAAGTGGACTTTTGGTCAATTTGTTAGTTTTAGATGGTAGACTAAGGTTTGACATTGGTTGTTTCATTATGTGGTGTGTAGCACCAGTCTTGAGACTATACGAGTTTTGGTATATTCGACTTTGATTACCAGGTGAGTCTTCTCAATATACTATGTAGGACACTAGGTGTCAATTGTGCTTGTTGTCTTTGTGAATCTTTCTATTATGTTTGCATGAAAGACCATGGGAGAGCCCATGGTAACTGCAGGGGTGTTTTAAGACTACGGTTAGGCCCGTAGCATTCACTTGGGATAAAATAGGCCCGTTGGATGAAATAGGTTGTTGCAGGGGAGATTATAAGACTATGATGTAGCCCATAACATATCACTTGGGATGAAATAGGTCCATTGGTTGAAATAACCCGTATTGTTATGTATGTGGTTATTTATGGTATGTGGTGTTTTGGGGAACTCACTGAGCTTTGTACTTATGGTTTAGGTTTTAAATGTTTTAGGTGCTTTCAGTAGCAAGGGAAAGGAGTCAGTCTGATTGCGTTGCATCCATCGATGATTTCTGCACTATGAGATTTTGGTATTACTCTGATATTTAATGATAACAAAATACTCATGTTTTTTATTATTGGACTTGTGAAGTTTACGGAATGGTTTTATTTATTTTAAAATTGAAAATTTTTCTTGGTAGTTTTGGGATGTTTCAAACATGATAATCCAAAGCTGTTGAAGGAGAAGAAAGACTGAGTAGCGGACATTCGAACAAGCAGAGAAATATTGTCACCCATTATGGATACAAACAAAGTACGATGAAACCCTACACAAGCAACGAAGGACAAGATAAATATCGAAATTGAGAAGATCCGAATCCAACAAAAGGATAAGCCATCAACAAAAAGTTTGCGGGCCATCTATAGCATGAAATTCGGGTAAGGCGCCAAAGGGGGATATCGTTAGCAGGAAAAAAAGGAAAGGGAAGCACCAAACCAAGCTACATTGTTTCATGGGGAAAAAAAGAAAAGGCGTACAGACAGGACCGAGGTAACTAAGGCAGACGAGCTTTAAAAAAAAGAAAGTATGTTCGGATAGCAACAACCTCATTTACGTGCAATACATTAAGGAAACATTCCAAAGCAAGCACGTAGTCGTGAACCTTATCCATGCATACATGTAGAAGCAAAGTGGTTTTCTTCTTACTTAATGCAATAATGGTTCAATGGCAAAATAATGAGTGCAAAATTTATTCTAAAACGTAGCTCGGTCTGTCGAATACTTAGAATTATTGATCATTGCAACATATTGACCAAAGCTACCCGATTAGCCAACTAAGCAACAATAATTATCTAAGTGTAGCTCGGTCCACTAACTACTTAGAATTTTTTGTCATTGCAACATATTGACCAAGGCTACCTCGTTAGCCACAGCAAGAGAAACAAACATTATGTTATTTTAGAGTAGAAACTTTGAAACAAAGCATTTTACACTCCAAAATCAGAAAAACAGTTCCAAAACATAGAATTAAAATTACCAAAATCATAAAACATATCGAAGACAAGTAGATTACGATATAAGAGGATAAAATGTTGTCATTTCGTTCGATGATACTAAACATTGCCGAAGCATGTGTCGAAAGATTTTTTATTTAAAAAGTAGGATTTAAATCGAACAAAATACACAGTATATTTTTCATACTCCACAATGATATTAGCATTTTTTGAATGGCGGATGCATTAAAGAACAAACTAGCAAGATGCTAGAACAAAATCATAAAATACAAGTATAAAATAGAAAGTTACATCAATCAAACTAACTAATAAAATTAAACAAAATTAATTTGATATAATTACCGCTTTAACATCTCTTCTTCACATAAACACAATTTTAGCTAATTTATTTAACCAAATATATTATTTAAGAAACGAGTATAATAACTTCAAATAGCAATAAGTAGCAAACACGTGATATAAAGGGACAAAGGGATATCAATTCCCGTGTGGGGTGTTTGCTAATTATTAGTTAGATGGTGTCGATCATTAACTTTGTCCTTTTCACAGGTTCGTTTCCCAATAATTTCTTTAATATTTTCAAATGTTATTCAACAACTCAATACAACGGTTAATAACGCCAAACCTTTCAGTTAATAAATTAACCATGGTAAATCTTTTTACAAACTTGCAAGATATCAGAAAATATGATTCATTCTTTTTTATGCATCTTAGCAAGTATCATGGTTGTTATACAACAAATATGTTAACAAGTTCTCTTGTAGAATACTAAAAAAAACATTTCAACATTTCAACATTTTCACTGCCCCTTCCAATATTCCATTACTTTTCTTCATGTTCAAAATCACCATAAAGAAAGAAGCATTCAACTCATTTCAGGAAAGTATAGTATATAATAAAGTCACCATCATTATATGCACATAACCCTACACCATTCTACCTACCATCAAGATCCCACCGGAGCAATACCTTTCGCCTTGGCGGCAGCAGACGCCGCACTGGCGGCAGCCGCGGCCGCAGCTGCCGCTGCCGCCGCCGGATTCGGCGTCGAAGGCGGCACCCGCTGAGGTGCCGCCACTTGCTGCTGTTGCTGAGCTGGCGCGTTGGCATTTAATTGAGCCAAAAGTTCTTTAATCTGTTTTCCAGATAAAGTCTCGTGTTCCAACAAGGCGTTAGCAAGGGCATGGTGTTCTTTACTGTAAGTAGTGAGGATATTTCTGGCATTATTATATGCTTTTTCCAAAAACCCGCGTACTTCTTTCTCAATCAAAAGTCTTGTTTCAGTGCTCATTGATTTCCCATTATCATCATAATTATGAGCAACGACACCAACTTCTTTACTCATTCCATATTTTGTCACCATTTCTCTTGCAAGCCTTGTAGCCTGTTCAAGGTCCGAAGAAGCTCCTGAAGTCACTTCATCTTCTCCAAAGATAAGCTCCTCTGCAACTCTCCCACCCATACACACATCCAGCCTGGCGAGCATTTCTTTCCGGGAGACACTCGTCTCGTCTTTTTCCGGCAGCTGAGCCACCATCCCGAGGGCCATTCCACGGGGGACGATGGTGGCTTTGTGGACGGGATGGGCCCCGTCGGTGTGGAGTGCCACCAGGGCGTGGCCGCCTTCGTGGTAGGCGGTTAGCTTACGGACTTCATCGGAGATGACGGCGGATTTCCGTTCACTGCCCATCATGATTTTGTCTTTGGCAAATTCGAGGTCCGCCATGCTTACCGATTTAGCACCGTCCATTGCCGCCTTGAGTGCCGCCACGTTCACCAAGTTTGCCAGGTCAGCACCGGAGAATCCCGGTGTTCCTCTCGCAACCACCATTAGATCGACATCATCCGCCTTTAAGATCTGTTGCAATGAATTTTAATTTCAGTAACTTGTATAAAAATAAAAAAGGGCAAAAAGGTCATTTTACCTTTGACATGTGAGACTCCATAATCTGGCGCCTGCCTTCAACATCGGGATTGGGGACCACCACACGGCGGTCAAACCTCCCGGGTCTGACCAGAGCCTTATCCAAGGACTGAGGAAAGTTGGTTGCAGCAATAACAATGATCCCTTCATTCTGTTTAAATCCATCCAATTCAACAAGCAACTGATTCAAAGTCATCTTCATGTATTGTTGATCCTTAGGGTTTCTGCTTCCACCAATGGCATCAATCTCATCTATGAAGATGATACAAGGTGAACGTTTTTTTGCTGCAGCAAAAAGATCCCTAACTCTTCTTGCTCCAACACCAACAAACATTTCCTCAAATTCACTTCCACTGCATGAGAAAAACGGGACACCTGCTTCTCCGGCGATTGCGCGGGCCAACATGGTTTTTCCGGTCCCCGGTGGGCCCACAAGTAAAACACCTTTTGGTAATTTTCCACCGAGACGAGTGAATCGCTACACATCACAATTCAATCAAAAATTATGTTTTTGGCCTCCGAGTATAGTTGGTTTTTGCAAAATTGGTCCCAAGAGGTTCTGTTCAAACTTTGGTGCATATTTGTAATGTTTTTAATCCATGTTCCAAGAAAATGACTATACTTTTTGGACTAAAATTGCAAAAATTAGTTATACTCTAGGACCAAAAATAGTGATTTTACTTGGAACGGGGACCAAAAATGTTACAAGAACCTCAATCGATGACCAAGTTTGTAAGAAAAACCTTTGTGGGACCAAAATTGCAAAAACCAATTTTGGTCCATGTTTCAAGAAAATGACTATAGTTTGGAGCCAAAAATAGTCATTTTACTTGAAGCAAAGAGCAAAAACATTATAGGAACCTCAAATGAGGACCAAAACTGTAAAAAAAAACTCTTTTAAGACTGAAATTGCAAAAACCAATTTTGGTCCATATTTGAAGTTTTGTAACATTTTTGGTCCCTGGTCCAAGAAAGCAGCTACTTTAAGGACCAAAATTGCAAAAATCAGCTATAAAAAGGGACCAAAACTGACTCACAAAGAATAATCATTTTACATGGAAATGGAACCAAAAACGTTACAAGTCAGATGCGGATCAAAATTGCAAAAAAAAAAAAAAAAAAATCCTTTTTGGAACCACAACTGCGAAAACCAGCTATACTTAAGGACAAAAAATGTAGATTACTTCATATTCTTGGACTATTTTTAAATTTATAAAAGTGGATTTATTTATTCACCTTAGGGTCACGTAGATAGTAAACAATTTCTTCGAGTTCAGCTTTTGCTTCATCTACACCTTTCACATCACTAAACTTTGTGCTGGATTCCATACTTGGTTGGACCTCATCATGAAGACCTAGTCCTAGAAGGATATGACCAATATTCTCCATTATTAATAACAGTTGTTAAATAAACAGTAATTTGTTATTTATCATCATTTATATACACAAGGGTAAAATAGTCATTTACTAGGATTCAGATAGTTGATTCAGTCTAAAAAAGAAGCAGTTAGAGTTTACATATACACTTTATCCATATAGGACTCAATGGCAAAAGATAAAGAAACAACCCTTAGTGTGCTTGATAATGTATACAGGACTAGGGGCAAAAGTGTAATTAATACCTTTAGTGATTCCTCTATCCTCTATAAGTGCTCCAACACCAGACATGAGAAGAAAAGTCATGCCCAGAGCACGAACTGTACGCCATATCTGTTCTTTCAAATGTCCTCCTTCAGTAGCCACCATATGTATAGGGGCAGCAGCTGTTCCCAACACACCTTCTTTTGTAGATTTTCCAACATTTTTCAAAGCTGAAAATCCACCAATCATTTCTTCATCATATCCTGCTTTCCCAGACCCTGCCATTCCTAAAATTGACAAAAAAATATATAATTATAATTATAACAAGTAACATGGTTTTTTACTTTTTTATTCCATTTGTTCATGTTGACACTTACCTCTTTGTAATGTTTTGAGCAACTCGCTTTCATCCAATCGGTCAACTTTGACCAGGGCTTTGACATATTCTTTAAGTGCTGAAGGATTTGAGTGCAAATAAGGCTGACTTTCAAACTGTCTTATCACAGCTTCTGGATCACTTTGATGATAAAGCTCCCTGAATGATGCAGCACTTCCTCTGTTGTCTGCATCACGTTCACGCATTCTTCTTGCAAAACCTCCACCATAGCTTGATTGAAACCTTCTTTGGCCACTTGCCACCTTGTAAACTGCAAATATATAATCAATTAATCATTCCATAGATTAAGCAACTGATATGGAAGGTTTATGAGTGTTTAACTGGTTATATATATACCTGCATCAGATACAACTGTTTGAGAAGTATTGTATGATCTGGTATACAAGCTTTTCAGAAGCTTCACTTGTGATTGTGGCCTTGAGACCTATTATATATAAATAAACACTAACATGGTGATTAAATGAAGAAGAAGGTATAGATAAGGGATTTTGCACTGCATGATAAAGCTAATAAAGGACAATGTAACTCAATTGAATTGGTAACAATACTAAAAAAAAACTTGACTTTCTTCAATCATCTTTATAAGCATGTTCGTTTAGTATAACAATATTAAACCATTTGTAAAGTAGATTAGTTAAAGAATCAACAAGCTACAGCAATACTGCAATAGTAAAACCATTTGCAAAGTATATTAGTGAAAAACTCATGAAAGTATATTTGCGAATGAGTAAGGATGATAGATGTATTTTTTTAACTAATTTCTGTTGTAAATAGTTTAGTAATCTTCTATACTATAGGTGTGTTTTTTAACTTTTTAAATAAATTATAAATTAGTAATCTCCAATGAATATGATTGATTCAGTGATAGAACAATCGGAGGCTATGTTCACAAACTTCATAACTAACTAGAGGCTGATCTCCTGTTCTGCAGCATATAAAAAGTTCTCAACCAAACAAGAAAAAGAAAAAGTGATGAAAGAAAAGAAGAATAGAGAAAGTTGCAATCAATAACAGACAAGTGTGTGCCCAGAATTGATACTTTGTCTTTTTACAACATTTAGGACCTACAATTAAACTATCCTAATTCCTAACACTTATTACATCATTTCTTCACCAATTTTACCTAATCATACAGTAAGAACACGCATGTATTCATTTGATGGCTAAGCAAAGTATAAAAAAATTCAACTACTATGTTGTCCAACAAAAACCGAATCTTAACATAATACTGCAAGTGAGACTAAAAAGAACCATGATCATGAATACACTTCAATTTCAGTACATCAAATCTGATGAATGTAACAAGAAGACTAAAGAAACATTGATCAAGAAAACACTACAAATTTCAATATATAAGAAAATACATATACATATATCAATCAACCAAATGTCCAACAAATTGCATTAATCTACAGCTACGTAACCATGTTGAAGCTGCTTGAAGAAGTTCTGTGAGAACCCTAAAAGCTCTTTCAGATTAGGGTTTTCTTTCTTTTCGTATGCAACCCTAAGTGATTTCAAAGGAACGTTAAAGTGTAATAACCCACCCATATGCATAATTGACATGATCTAACCAAGAAAGATGAAACAGAGCAATTGTTGAAATAAAAAGATGAAGGAAAATAGACCTGGGTAAGAAGGCGTTTTAGGCCCATCTTTCTCCTTCTCTTCAAATCAAAGGTCAGATCTTTGTCTCGCCCTTTCTTCCTAGAACAGAAATTTCAAAATAGATGCTTGATTCAAAGGCTGCGCGCTTTCAGCGAGGAATTGGTGGGTTTACGAGAGAGGGAGGGGGGAAGAGATGTCTTGAAGGGTAAACGAAAGATTGGATTTTTATGTTGTTTTAGGAAATCCTAATCCAATTGTTCGTTAAAGGGTTCATAAGCTGCTGAATAGTAAACACGCGTTGGTGCAAGCCTCCCCTAAGTATGCACCATTTAATTTTTAACTGTTGTATAACGCGACTAAGTTATAAAATTAATTAAATTTTTATAATAAAAAATTAAAATTATTAATTAATTATTTTAAATAAATAATTAATTAAGAGATATTTTTTTAGTTATATAAAATTATAATCGTTGATTCAAATAAATACGTGTCATATCTTATAATCTGTATTAATTTAATTTTGTTTTTTATTTTAATGTTATTTACTATAATAAATGAAGATAATTTCGTCAAATGTCAATCTCTAATAAGTTTTGACACTTGTCATTTTTGTAATATTTTTTAAATAAATAATATCCAAATGTCAATTTATGGTTTTTTTCAATTTTTAAAATTAAAAAGTCACATAATACTTATACTTATATATGTAAACTATCAAATGTAATAAATATTATACTAAATTGTCATTAATATGTTTCTTATTTCAAAATTTCATTCCTTATTTTAAAATTTTATTTTAAAAAACACTTATTATTTACATGTTAATATTTTATTTTATTTTATTTTAATCAACCCACCTAGTTAATTTAATGTAATTAAAGTGAGAAATTTAAAATTTAAAATTTAAAATGGATAATCAATAGATTGACAAGTGACATGACATTAATTACGATGACACATGGCAAAAGAACTACTCTTTTATTAGTATATATATGGAGATTAGTTACATGGGGAGTTGCGGGACTCGGTACACACCGCACCGCCAACTCGGCATGTGGCCAAACTCGGTAAGTTTCTACCAATGCGAGAAAGTCGTTGCTGATTTATTTATTTTTTACCATTTCAATAAAAAACATAATTTCAAAAAAAAAAAAAACTCATTTTTCAAAATATAACAGTTTTTTTCAAAATTTTAAATTTTAAATATTTTCTTAACTACTATAAATACTAACATCATCATTTATTTTTTATCACATTCAAACCTTCTTCATTCAACTCTCTTAACATTTTTATTTTCCATCTTCTTCAAAACTTCATCTCTAAAAAATTACTCATTTTTGGACCACGAATGAAGAGAACATATATTCATATTGGCTTGTTCATAGATCGATGTAACTGAAGAGTCAGTCAACATCAACGTCGATACGTCTACTTTCTGGAGCAGAGTTACTATCATGGTGGTTGTTCTCGGTTTTTCTGGCCAGGCGAAACGCCTACATGAACAGCAACGCCCTACTCGCGAGCACACCCCCATACATGAACTCAGTCGATCCCTCTTAATGGTGGTGAACTTTGACCGGAAAAACTGAAGGAACAATTAGCTCAAACGGCGGCAGCGGCGGCGACCGGCTGCTGCGAAGTCACGTCAGAAGCAAGGGTAGTTGAGACGCCGGCGACCACCATGAACGGCTACGAACGGAGACAGAACAGAAGGAGAAGAAGAAAGGTAGAGGTGTGGCGGCAACGGTCATCGACTTCTCTCCCTCGTCGGTAGCGGAACGGTAACAACAACACTCGATCGGTGGTTCCCTGCTCTGACGACGATGGAGGCTGGACACAAGGTTGGCGGCTGGAGAATAAGTTGAGTATTAGGGTTAGGGTTCCATGTTTATGGGAGGGGAGGCTAGTGACGGGTTTAAACCCGTCTCCAATATAACTTCTATCCGATTTTGACAAGATTGGTCCCTCCTTCCCTTATCTTTTCCAAAATAAATCCGAAATTTACCTTTTTAACCCCTGATTCCATAAATCTTTACAATATAAAACCAGAATTTACATTTTATCCCTTGCTTCCATAATTCCTTTCATATTGAGTCCTAATTGCTACCAAGCAACCCCTGTCTTCAATATTACTTACAAATTAAGTCCGGATTTTACACTTTAACCCCCGCCTTCTAAAATTATGACAATTAGCTCCTCGATACCAACACCTTATTATATATAATTATCAATTTTAGGGCTACAATTCATTCATTAATTTCGTCTATTTTTTATTAAATAAACAGGGTGTTACAACTCCCCCCCCCACTTAAATTAGATTTCGTCCTCGAAATCATTCCTTACCATTCCTTACACTCCCAACTACTCAAGTAACATGGTCACCATCCTGGGCACACCCTAGCCTTCCCAGGGTAGCCGTGACCAATCTTCGCTAAGCCCTAATATCCGAAGGTGAACGAATTTATCGCAACAAAATCACATCTACTCCGTCTAAAATCTGTTGTCTTGAGATGGTCTGAATCCCTGACAGACCACTCATACTGAATCATTATCGTTGAATCCAGTCCACTTCGTCCTTCAACTGGCTACTCAACTTCCGATAACTCGAGGTTCCCACTATAAGTGCGGATCACAAGCCCAATTACCTCTGCAGGTCACTTATACTCGGCTAAGGCTCAAATAATCCCGCTACGATTGACTTAACATAACCCAAGCAATCCGTTATTCTGTCCATACTTGCAACCCAAAACACAAATACTAATACTGCCAATTGCTAAATTGTCCGATCATTGAACTGCCTGAAGCAGTATACTGCCACACGGCTGCTTGCCAAAATCTACAGAGACCTTCCTGGTCTCAATTCATCCGTCAGACATCTGAATTACCGGGTTCCAGCCCGGTCGTCGAGCTAAAAGGGCTCCTACTTAGTCGCCTCACACGACTTCTGAATGAAATCCTTCTCTTGAACTAGTTGCCACTAGTTATCATGCCACTGAGGCTCTAATAACCTTCTGATCTAACTGGTCGGGTCCATGCGTCAAATCCTGACGTCACCGAATCCAAGACTAAAGTGAATGCTACCTGACCAATGGTATCTTTATATAACAAGCAATCTTATACAGTCCATTGCTTCCCTGATCCCATAACTGTAGTGGCGCTCCTACAGTCTTATCACTGGCTCAACCAGATTTAATCCATCTGGGTAATTCCGAAATCCAATTCGTGGATCTCCATATCCTCACTGATGCACCCGAACTGGTGGGTACCACTATTCCGTCCGCGTTCCAACAACACGCTCATGCCATCTATCAACCTAGTGAATGTTGCGGCTACACCCGTAGAATTACAACACTCTATCACTATCTGCTAACCTTGTGAATGTTACGGCTACACCCGCAGACTTACAACACTTCTCACACTATCTGATGCTAGTGAATGTTACGGCTACCCCCGTAGTCTTACAACACATTCCATACCGAGTCGACCACGCACTCGGCCTAACACTCAACTGAACTTGAGTCCTAACTGGAGCTCTAACCTGGTTCCCGAAACCTGCTGTCTGAGAGTCTCGAGGGCTGCCTGCTGCTCAGGCCTCCAACGAAAGGCCATCGACTTCTTGGTCAGTCGAGTCAAAGGAACTGCAATCTCGGATAAGTCTCGTATAAATCTCCAGTGATAACCCGCTAGACCCACGAAACTCCGAATCTCAGTTGGAGACCTCGGAATCTCTCACTGCATCACGGCCTCTATCTTGGCCGGATCGACAAGAACACCCTTCTGTTTGATAAGGTGCCCAAGAGATTGCACCTCGTGCAACCAGAACTCACATTTGGAGAACTTTACAAAAAGTCTCTCCCCCACTTAGATTCAACTAAGTCTTCATTGCACATGAGGACTGAAGGATTCCCATTCCTTCTTACTTCCTAATAGTCCACTGCCGACAATCTGAGCTTACCAATGTTAGCGATTAATCACCGGTTAAACCTTGAGATCGCGCATCCTCGGAAATCTTGAAGAGTACTCTTGAAATCTGGTCCAGTCTGGCACCTCAGTCCATCTCCCATGCTGTCAACTGAAGGCCTTAATCTTCACTCTGGCGGACGAATCCTCGTTCCCACTTCCAATCTCGCAGCACCACTGAACTCTAACTGAACACGACCCATGCAAAAATACAATTCTCTTGCACATCCGATGACCAACCACTTATGCACCTAACACCCGCAACTGACACTACCCTCTTCATGTTACCAGTCCTGTCCTAGCAACAGTAGTGCCTTGAACTCCAGAGTTCATCCATAGACAATTTTCGACCATATATGAACGATGATAGAACCACTGAACGCTAACTTCACTGAAGAACTATCGCTCTAACCCTGACCGAATATCCTCTAAGTAATACCCCGCACAGATCCCGACAAAGATCCAGAATGATAACGGTACACACGGAACCGACTCCGCAAGATGAGTCCCTCTGTGGGTTCATCAAGGACTTTTTGGCATGCAGGATGGCATATATGATCCTTGATAACCCAGCCACTAGCAGAAGACTGACCCGAGATCTGACCTATCCAAACTCACTCACAATTCCAAAGCGATACATATTCCCATCATCCATCTATTAGCAGTAGAAGATGACATACCCGCAACATCTGGAGGAATACTGATCACCTTCAGCTGACATGATCAACCCTGCCACACCTGTAGCAGCCTAAACCCTTGGAGTGACAAACTCCCTTGTGTACTTTCTCGTACATGCTGCACTGACTCCGGCCCTGCTAGCCTTTCACCCGATGATCGGAGGTCACGAGTCTTTTCCCGGGACCCTCTACTATACGCACCTGAAACGAACCTCTCTTCTCAAAGTGCTCCAAATCGACCTCGCATCTGCAATATCTTGGAAATCATATCCTTCATGGTTTGACACCCTGCCAACCTACTAACTCGCTTGCCAATGGCTAAGCTGCAACAACTGGAACATCCTTTGTCCCCAAACTGGGTCACAAACTCTTCCCTGAAGCTTCTCAGATTCTCCAAGACTCTCACTGATTCGAGTATGGATCCTGTGCTTTCAGTAGTACGGGCCCAATACTACCTTCCACACCTATCCATACTTTCCTCAGCAATCCTCCTGAATCCTCCAAGTCACTTCCTCAAACTGGTACACCCAAGTCTCACTGAACCTCACTACTAACCCACTGAAACGTATCCTAGGCTTTCCTAGGTTCCCGAACTCACCCAGTCCTCAGCTGCTGAAAGATTCCCAGTAATGTCAACTAGCT